GGACGGTGGAGGGGGGGCAGGGGGAGTTTTGTTTGTTTTAGTAAGAGTTCTACGGCGTTCGCAACTACTTAAAGTCATATGAGCGTGCGAACCACAAGTTGATTGCATTCACAACCGTTCACTGCACTGGTTGGCTCGGGTCAAAGATCAGATTTTAAATGCTAAAATCTTTTGAGGCTTTGCAATTTACACCAAGGCAATAGGTTAACCTATATCAACGAAGACAACAACAACAACAACAACAACAACAACAACAACAACAACAACAACAACAACAACAACAACAACAACAACAACAGCAACAACACACACCACAACAACAACAACAACAACAACAATAAAAGAATAATAATAACAACAGCAACAACAACAATAAAAGAATAATAATAACAACAATAACAACAACAACACAACACAACAGCAACTACAACAATAATAGAATAACAACAACAACAACAACAACAGCAACAACAACAACAGCAACAACACACTCCACAACAACAACAACAACAATAAAAGAATAATAATAACAACAGCAACAACAACAACACACCGCAACAGCAACTACAACAATAATAGAATAACAACAACAACAACAGCAATATTGAAAACAATAATAAGCTTAAAAATAATAATAATTTTAAAAATAAAAAAATAATAATAAGGAGAAGAAGAAGAAAAAGTGTTATAACAATAACGAGTCGCCTTACCTTGACCTCGTCCGAACAACCCAGGTCGACGGGTTTGAAGAAGGTCTGTGCCACTCCCAGCAGCGCCTCCCGGGGCCACTCGATGTACCAGTCTATGGTGCAGCAGTTGACCAGGGACGGGAACATTCGGCACCGGGAACGGAACGCAGAACCCACCGGCGACATGCACAGCACGATGTGTAAATTGTTTCTGGGGGAAACAGGCAGTGTGAGGCCTTAGTTTCTTTGAATTAGTATGGTGCGTTTTGTTTTACAACGAGTTTTGTTTGAGTTTTTTGTTTTCAGTAGAGGTTTTACGGCGCTGGCACCTGCTTAAGGTCATATGAGCGCCCGAAGATTAAAGGTGTTACAAGAGAGTAACAAACATAAAAAAGAAGAAGGGGAGAAAAGGACGATAGATGTTTGATAGGAAAGAAGAAGCAAACCACACCAGAGCACCCACCAATCACCACCATGTTCAGCTGTCTTGAAGGTATATTATGCAGTATAATAAAGCATACAGTTTGACTGTTGTAAAGGTATACTATGTAGCCCGCATTTGAACTGTTTTAAAGATATTAATATGTAATATAAATATAATATAATAATATACAGCTGAACTGTTTTAAAGAAATACATATTTAATATAATATAGCATACAGTAGGACTGTTTTAAAGGTATGCTCTGTTATATACTACGGGGAGAATATCGCCCAGAACAGAGACAGGTGGAGGTCTCTTCTTGGCGGCTTATACGCAATGCCATGGTGACAGAGGCGAATGATGTGATATAATATAGCACACATTTAGACATATAGAAGACACACTTCCACTGTAACAAGGCATTCTCTGACTCATCTTGCGGATGGTTTGGGGGGGGGGGGCGCCACTGGTAGGTCCTGCTGTTTTACTTTCCTTCTGTTTGTTTGTGTTACTTTTTTCCCAGCACTAAATGAACATTATTGTGTCGATGTGCCTCTCTTTACTCAAACAAACAAACAAACAAACAAAACAACCAACCAATCAACCAATCAAACAACCAACCAAACAACCAAACACGACTCACCGGACCCTCTGTATACAGAAGTCGTAGATGGCGTCTCTGTTGCCCTCGGGAATGCCCACTTCCTTCGCCCCCGGCCTGCACGCTATGATGAGCTTCTCGTACTCGTCCGGCTCAAACAGGTTGGGGACCTCGCCCGAGTTGAGGATGTTGTTGATGTCCTCCAGAAACTCCTCCACCACGATCTGGAAACAGGTGAAATGGTAAAGTGTTTTTACGCCTCTATCAACACTTTTAGGTTATCTAAGAGGCATGACCTCCGAGTTTAACGTCCATCTGCGAACGGACCGAGCTAAGTGGGAAATTCGTGTAAAGTGTCTTTCCCAAGGACACAACGTCGGACCGAGCTGAGGCTCGAACCTCCGATCTCGCAATCTCACGATTACGAGTCCGGTAGCCGAACCACTAGGCCACCGACTCCACCCATTACAATATACGACAGACGAGATGTAGGAAGAGTACAGCGATGTGAACATATGTGAGGCAGCGTGGTGGAATCAGGCTCTCGTCAAAATAATCAAAGTGACGAAACTTGCATTTTTCCGCAGGTTTGTGAATTTTTATAAAATTTTTGTTTGTTGGCTCAACACCTTTCATGTCCATTAAAGAAATCATTTCTGTGTGGATTTTTCTTAAAAACGTTGATTAAAGGCACAAAAAATGTAAATTTTCAGTTACCACGGACTCTTAAGCTAAGGAAATAACTAATCTTTGGCGACCCTATTTTCACTAATTTTACCTCTGAAAGCAGGTGACCCCCACTTCCTTCTTTCGCAAATATCTCGACTAGTATTCAAGATAAATGAGTATTTTTTTCATCCTAATAAAAACAAATGAATAAGCTTTAAGACGATACCAATAACTCTACATGCCCAAAAATTGACGAGAGCCTGATTCCACCACGCTGCCTCACATATCGACATAATGAAGAACAATTAGGAATTTCTCCAACACAATCTGCCACCGACAGATTGCACGAATATAGCAGTGGGATTTATACAAGTACATGTGCGTGTATTACGCCCCCATTGCCATAATTAAGATGATTTAGGAACTTCTCCACCACAATCTGCGACACACGGGATTGTTAGAACAGTAGAAGACTTTTAATCAATTTACATTGGCACTGTCACAAGCAATCCACGTAAGTCCAAGTTTTGAGAATTTTCAATTTTTACAGCATCCCAAGCTCTACCACAAATGCGTCTTTCAACATTACCAAAATGCAGTTTAATGCAGCGGTCAAGGCTTGTAATTTCCTTGCTTTTCATGATTTCTGTTAGGAACAACACAACGAAAACTATTTTTTCTTTGTCTCCGGCGTAAAAAGTACTCCTAAATGGATTGCTTGGGACTCCGCCAACCACCTACTTTTACTACTTTAAAGGAGCAAACGAGAGAGATTTAAACCAAGCCATAGACAAAGATCTGATGTGTGGCATAAGAAACCACCTGTGTGTCCGTGAAGAGAAACACCGTCTGCTCGTTCCTGCCGCCGGCCGAGTCGTAGAGTTTCTTCAGGTCGTCGTGGAAGGAGCTGTAGTCGTAGCCCCGGCTCAGCTCAATCTGGAAACACTGGTAGCTGCATATGTGGGCCGACAGTCTGCGGGAAGAGAAAAACCAGGGATGAGAAGAAGATCATAAATAGCAACAACAACAATGATAATAATA